CGGAGCGCAGGAATGTATATGCAATCTGGGAGTGACTTCAACTGCGGGGTGATGAGGGGCTGCGGGCTCGCGCACTTGCTTTCCAAGAGGGATGAGGGCAGCAGCCCCAACCTGGCCCTCAACACCTACCCGTCCTACCTCTCGCAGCTGGACTCCTGGGGCGACCCCAAAGCCGCCTACCGCCTGGAACAACCTGTTGGCAGGCCTCTGTCCTCCTGCTCCTACCCACCTAGTGTCAAGGAGGAGAATGTCTGCTGCATGTACAGTGCAGAGAAGCGGGCGAAAAGTGCCCCCGAGGCAGCTCTCTATTCCCACCCCCTGCCGGAGTCCTGTCTTGGGGAGCACGAGGTACCTGTACCCAGCTACTATCGCGCCAGCCCGAGCTACTCGGCGCTGGACAAAACGCCCCACTGTGCCGGGGCCAACGACTTCGAAACCCCTTTTGAGCAAAGGGCCAGTCTCAACCCGCGCGCGGAACATCTGGAATCGCCTCAGCTTGGGGGCAAAGTGAGTTTTCCTGAGACCCCCAAGTCCGACAGCCAGACCCCCAGTCCCAATGAGATCAAGACCGAGCAAAGTCTGGCGGGCCCAAAAGGCAGCCCCTCGGAGAGCGAAAAGGAACGGGCAAAGACCGCAGACTCCAGCCCAGACACCTCGGATAACGAAGCTAAAGGTAAGGCCGCCTGGGCCGCGGGGCCGGCTGGGCTGGGACGCTGGGGGCACTGGTCTTCGTGGTCAGGTCTCAGAGCAGGAAGATGAAGAGAGGGTTGAGCCGAGGCCTAGGGAACACGAGGGTTCTGAATTGACCCGGGCTTGAGGGTCCTGTTTGCTGAGCGCCAGGCTGATGGTGTGTCATTTAGCAGGGAAAGGTAGAAGGCGATGTGGAGGTGCCAGGCCAGCTCGGCCTTTGGATGCATAGGCGGAAGAGGTGAGCATTACAGGCAGCCTGCGGGTGCCCTGTGCTGCACCAGATCCGTGGCCATTCCTCGGCGCCTGGTGGCTTTGGTTTGCTTTTTCAGTGAGGGTGTCCTGGGGGTTCATGTCCCCAGCGCAGGTCAAAGCGCACAAAAAGCTTAAAATGGCGATCCTTGGGCCAGGGACCAAAGAAGGCTTAGAGATGAGTAATTTCTCTTCATTGCATTTTCCTAGTTGGAAAAATGTTTCCTATGAAACACATTTGTTGTTTGTGGGTGCGATTTGTGCATACAGTTTGCGCCCCTGAGATTTCTGTCTCGTCAGGGGCCTTGGGCAGCGAGGCTGAGGCCGGAAGAGGTGGAGGTAGAGGGCTGCCCGCCACATCCCTCCCTCCTCCAGATGCTGGGCGTGAGAATGGCTTTGGATCAGGGCATTGGAAATGTTTCTTTCCTTTCCTTTTCTTTCCTTTCCTTCTTTTTTTTTTTTTTTTTTTTGATCTTTAAAATTTTTTCTCTTCTCTATTTTTTCTAGTTATGTTTTTCCCCCCATTGGTTTTCAAAAGCAGCTTATAAGTGAGTGGTTGGAAATTTTCTGTGTGCGTGGCAAGAGGTTTACTCCTGAGAAGGAGTGAGGCTTTGGTTGGATTTCTTTGTGATTTTTGGTTCAAGAAAGAATGTTCAGCCAGAGTTCAAGCTCAGGGTTCACGATCCATTTCTTCTGTAACTGGGGCCTTTCAGGACCCTGGGGCAGGGGACTGCAGAGTTTGAAACAGGAACAGGATTGGGATACTGAGGGCAATGACTTTCCCTGGAAAGTTTGGAGCAAAAAGCCCAACGGGGAGGAATAAACCCGCTCCCCAAGACACTGGCTCCTGGTGGTGGTGTATGAGGCGGACTCATTGGTGTAGAAGTAGAAGAAATATTGAGAGTGAGTCAGACTGGGGTTGTCTTGAACCTTGTATGTGGTGCTTTGTATGTGGGTGGAAGTGCACACTAATGTCTGCGCGTGACCTGTGTGTGTGTGTGTGTGTGTGTGTGTGTGTGTGTGACACTTGTGTTCCTCACACACTCACTCATATATACACATACACTCTTTAGGTGCGCAAGGGCAAAGCCTTACCCTCTTGGGTCTGCTCTGCAAAGATAGCCTTGGTAAATCAGTCCTTAGAGACTTTGACCAGATGACTGTGGCTGTGTTTGTGAAGATGAGGAAATGAGGCACCCATGCCACACACATGTCCTTATGGCACATATAGAATGCAAAGGTTTGATTTTATCCCCTCGCCATAAACCCTGAACTGGACTGGGGTAGAGGACTAGGGTAGAAAAAACTTCATCCTAGCAAAGTCAAGGTTAGCAAGTCCACCTCCTAAACCCAAACTACACCCATTTTGATAGACACCCCTTTCTTTTCTTGTCCCCCAACAATCTAAGCCCTCCTATCCCAAACTAACACCCAGAGATTGCACTTTGCATTCTCCCTTTCCTTCACCCCTTTTTGCTGTTTCCACCAGGCCAGAGGCAAAGAGTTTTTGGCTAAGGTCCATTTGTAATTTCTTTCCTCCTCTTAAAACCCAACAACCCCAATAAAAAATAAACAGAACAGAGTTAGATGTGGGGAACCTGTAAACAGTTTGGCAAGAAGCTGCAGGTGCAGAGATTGGAGAATAATTAAAGACGTTGACATTTTCTAGACTATAGCTTCAAGTTTATAACCCCCACCCTTGTTTCCTGGATGCCCTAGGGAGCTTTCCTCACCACCAAACCATACAAAATCCAGGACCCAGAAGCCTCATTTGACATAAGGAAGAGAGGAAGCAGGGTGTACACAGAGCTGTCAGCAAAGTTATTTACTAGGTACCAATGGCTCCCTAGTCTTTGGACTCTATATTTCCTTTGCCCCCTTTTAAAGGGTGGCTGTGTTCTCTTCTGTTACCTGAAGAGCAAGGCTGATTCATTTCAGCAAGAATACTTACTAGAAAGAGAAGCTAACAATAAGATAATGGAAACACATATTATGGCATCTTTTCACATATGCAGTCATTTATCCATACCCCTCCTGTGTATACAGATGTATATGTGTGTGTATTTGAAAACATACACATCTACCTTCACATAGACTCTAGGGGAAGGCAATAAATACCTTAGAATGTCCCCCTTCCTTGACCTTAAATCCTCTGGTCCAGGGAAAGTTGTCTGAGGAGCCCCCAGCATGTCTCAGAACTGTTCCCCTGACCTCTGCTGCTCAGTCAGGCTTCTCTGGCTCAGTTATACCTGAAGCAGATGGCCAGGAGAGAAGGGGGGTAGCAAAAGAAAGCTCTAACAAGACAGCAATCCTGTGGCAATTCAGGTGGAAATAAGAGTTGGGGGCCTAGTGAAGGGACTCCTGAGATGTCTTTGGCTGCAGAGACAAGGACAGAATACCTCCATAGAGTTGAAAGGAGCCAAAGCTCTCTAGGAAATGACTGTGAGCTGTGGGGTAGACCTCATTGAAGATGCTTTTTCTGTCTGGCTGGATTTTTCAAGATCTGGAGCAGAACAGAGTTGAAGGAAAGCCTGGAGAGATTTAAGACAACCACCAGGATCAGGAGAGGCATTCAGAATTGGTTAGGTTAAGGTGGGCTTGGCTAATTTAAATTTAGTAAACACTTTGAGGGTAAGAGCCTCCTCTCTTTTGTCCCTGTAAGTCTAGTCTAGACCCCTAAGAAATCCCAAAAGCCCAAGAGAACCTGCCCCCAAGCATGTGAGGCTAGAGTAGTTCTCCAGTGCCTCTTTACCCACCCTCTCCCCAAACAGGCTTTTCCAAAAGCTGCATCCTGAGGGCTTGCTTCTTCCAGGGATACTTATGTAAATAATGTTATTTTTAACAGAGGAGATAAAGGCAGAAAACACCACAGGAAATTGGCTGACAGCAAAGAGCGGAAGGAAGAAGAGGTGCCCCTATACTAAACACCAGACGCTGGAATTGGAGAAAGAATTTCTGTTCAATATGTATTTGACGCGAGAGCGCCGCCTGGAGATTAGCAAGACCATTAACCTTACAGACAGACAAGTCAAAATCTGGTTTCAAAATCGCAGAATGAAACTCAAGAAAATGAACCGAGAGAATCGGATCCGGGAACTGACCTCCAATTTTAATTTCACCTGAGCCAGCGTCATCTCCTCCCCCTCCCCATCTCTCCTTTCCCCGCCCCTCCTCCCTTTGTGCCTGGTGATATTTTTTCCCCTCCCTGAGTATAAATGCAACACGCCTGCAAAAAAGAAAGGCAAAGACCTCAGACTCTCCTTCCAAGGGACCTATGGTTCGTGCTTCATGGAGGCTTCCAGCTAAAGCATGAGAAATGGGGTGCTGGGTTTCGGGGTGTTATGTGTGCCCTCAAAGATGGGGTGGGAGTGTGGCTGGTGTGTGTGTCAGTCCCTCACTCACCCACGCACTCACACGCAGCATTCTGTTCTCCATGCAAAGTTAAGATCGAATCCACCCGATTATAGGGGAAAGAAAGGGGGGGAAACAACCAGAGAGGGTCTCGGAGAGCACAGTCAGAATTGCTCCCTCCTTGCTGCATCCCCTCCCTTAGAATAATAGACAGTCTTGAAAGTTCGCCTAGTATTTGTGTGTTTGTCATAGCACCCAGTGTCTAGACCCAACCCTCCCTGTGTCTTTCCCTCCCAGTGGCTCTGAGAATCTGCTTGAAGTATTTGTACTGCTTTCTGCTTTTCTCCCAGCACCCTGTATCTCCCATCTACTAACATCTCAGAAATTCCATCCAGAAGAACAAAAATATTAAAAATAGAACATAGCAAAGTAAAACCAAATCCCCCCCCCAAGTTATCTTATCCCTGTCTGGGAGTTGTGTTATTTAAAGATATTCTGTATGTTGTATCTTTTGCATGTAGCTTCCTTAATGGAGAAAAAAATCCTAATAAATTTCCGGAATCTTAATCCTCAAATGGGTGGTTTTTTGTTTTTAGTGGCTTTTTTAGCGACATCCCTCCCCCCAAAACACTGAGTGTGTGGATATGTGTGTGTTTTGTGTTTGACTCATCTCCTACAGCCTTTCCAGAATGTCTCTTGGCGGGTTTAATGTAAGTGAGAGACCATAACGTTGATTTAAATATTATCCAGGTGACCACAATAAGTCAAGGTCATAAAACAGTAATGTCAGGACGGTCTTGGTGCGCGCGAGAGGTGGATTTTATGATCTGCAAATATAATGTGGTACTGCAGTAAAAGATGCATTTAAAGGTGACTGGAGGAGGGAAAGAGGCAGAGAGCAAACTGCAATCCTGAGGAGCAGACGGATCTGATTGCCTTCGGTGCTGGGGGCTGGGTGCACCCCACCACTGCTGGGGGCACCTCAGGAACCCCCACCCATCTAAACAGAGGAATAAACTTAACCACCGGAGGGGCACGAGGAGCTCAGCCCCCCTCACCCTCCCTCGACAGCAGCTAACAGAAGCGCCAGCGGCAGCAAGAGGAGGAGGAGGCGGCGACAAGGTAAGAGAATCGGTTTCTTGTTCTTCTCTTGGCGTTGGACTGAGGACTAGCAAGGTCCCCAGGTGCCCTGCGAGCAGCGGGTAGAGCAAAGAGGAAGGTGTTTCGGGCATCTGTGTTTGCTGAGAGCTCCGGATTTGCCTTTGGCCGCCGGCAGTGGAGGGCAGCGGTTCTGAGCTCCCTCCCTTCCCCTCCCGGCCCACTGCCGCCGTGGGGTTCGGTGGTTAAAGGGGTAAATTGGTGGTTTTGGCTTCTTTATCTTTGCAGGCACTTAGGAATGTTTGGAGGTCCACCCATCAGTTTAGGTGTCTCTTGGTCTGGTTGTATGTTGGGGAAGGTAGAAGGGTTGGAGCTGGAAGCTTGTTTTCTTGGTTTTGCTGGTGTAGGTGTGAGCCTTGTCCATGTTCTTGGTCCTTGTGTTTCCTACTGTGGGGCTTTTGCCAGGCAAGTGGCCTGACTGGAAGTGGCTCCAGAGCCTGTACAGGCGCAGGCGCTGTGGTTCAGGCACCCATGCTTGTTGAGAACCCTGAGACAGAAAGAGTCTGGGAGCAGAGCAGAGGAGAGCCAGATGGACAAGACAGGGAACCTAGCTCAAGAATGGAAGAATGATCCAGCTCCCCCCAGGGCCAGGACCAGATGCAGGGGCATAGCTCTACTGCAGTACTGGGGGTGGGGCAGGTATTTGGCGGCTAGAGATCCCATCTCACCAGATTTTCCAAATCAATTTGCTTATACCAGAAACTAATGGAGGCAATCATCCTTTGCCCACCCAGCCACCCAAAGTCTGCTCTCTAGTCCTTAGGGAGATTGTAAGGGCGGAAAGGGGATCGGGCTGAATTTCTTCCTTCCCCGAGCCCCTTCCCTTCTCCTTTGGATAGATGCAAAGCTGAAACTCTGGCCCTGCTTGCTCAGCTGATCTGTGGCTTAGGTAGTTTCATGTTGTTGGGATTGAGTTTTGAACTCGGCAACAAGAAACTGCCTGAGTTACATCAGTCGGTTTTCGTCGAGGGCCCCAATTCACCTCTCCTAACCCTTTCCTTCCTTGTGGGGATGCCCCACCACCCCATTCTAGGTAGGGCACAGTGGGTGCAGACTGAGGAGGTCAGGCTGTGAGTGGAGGCCATGGAACAAATTCTGGACAACCCTGCTTTACAACCATCTCCTTCTCAGCCTGTCCCAATGTCTACAACTGAGAGAGAGGTCTTTCCTTTCCCCCTGTAGCTATTGTCTCCTGAGCACAGTTGATAGACAGACAAAGGAGGTCCAGCCAATTCCAAGGAAATGCTGGAGTTTGAGTTTGGCCTGGTGGGCCAGTTCAGTTGGGTAGCAGGGTGGGGCAGAGTCAATAAAGGAGAGAAAAGCTCCTAGAAAGAGGAAGGAGTCCCTGAAATGGTTAGTGTCTCTCCCTGCCACCTCTGGAGAGAGGGCAGTGCTCCTTAAGAAAGTGGGGTTGTTGTTCCAAGAGTTAGGAAACTCTGAGAACAGCGGCTTCTCCTTCCCTCCATAGCTCCATCTCCAGGGAAAACACACATATGGGAAGTGAGTGGGTTAGTGGAGAAACACCAAGTCCAAGTAGAAACCTTCCCAAATACACCCTGTTGAGGGCAAAAGCCCAGCTCTGCTCTGCTCTGTCTGTTACCGATAGGCCTTGATCTGTGTGTCCGATAGTATGTGGCTGCTAGGCATTTGTCTGTCCTTGTGTTCTGTGGAAGTGTCTGGTAAACAGATGCTACCAGTACCCACCGTTACCATGTTGTTGAGAAGGCTGTTGGCTGATTCTAGGGGGCGGAGGGGAGAAAAATGGGGAGAAGGAGATCTGAGCAATGAGAAACTTTACAGACCCCCTCCACTGTGTTCCCCTCAGCTTTCTCAATTCTGGCCTTGGTTTCTGCAGAGAAGAATTTAAAAAAAAAAGGGGGGGGGACAGAAGGTTCTGTTTTCAGAGACACTGGAAACTTCCCCTCAGCTTTCTCAATTCTGGCCTTGGTTTCTGCAGAGAAGAATTTTTTTTAAAAAAAAGGGGGGGGACAGAAGGTTCTGTTTTCAGAGACACTGGAAAGGGGATACCCAAAGGAGGTCAGCTTCTAGGGACTCTTTCCATAATTATGGTTATGAAAACAGGGAATACAATATAAATCATGTCTCTAACAAACTATCACAGAGAATTTTGAATTTCCAACCTGGTATCCAGAAGACAGTGATGTGACCTTACATGTGCATAGCTCTCTTTTCTAGCTGTCCCATCTAGGCTTTCTGATATCTCAATATCTCTCTGAGATCAAATTGTGTGCATGCCAGTCAGCCTGTCTATCTCTATCTCTCTCTCAAATTTATTTTGACTTCCATGGACATTGGAGGAGAAAATGGGCATAGATTCTCCCTTTCCCAGCTGAATTGTTGGTCTATCTGTCCTCCATCCCTTTGTGGGAGGAAAAGTATTGGAATCTCTATGGCTCCCAGGGAAATGGAGAAGATTTCCAGAAAAAAAAAAAAAAAAGGCCAATTGGTAGTGGAAGATATATAAGGGGATTCCTTGGTTTGGGAATCTTGCAGACTTTGGGTAAAGAAAACCCCAGGCTGGAACAAGGTGTTGAAGAGCACTTGGTTTAGAGAAATCGCCCCGATGGGCCGAAATGTATCAATATAGGGCTTCTCTGCCTTGAGTCCCTTTGCCCCTATTTCCATTTCAAAGATGATGGGCTTAAAGGAGGTGGCCAAAGAGTCAGGGGTCAGAGCGGTCTCCTCCCTAGATCCAGAGAGAGGGAGCAAGGTCTCATAGGGCCAAGGTGAGGGCCAGTCTGATGGTCAGAGTCCAGCCCGGGGGGCCCTGGGGCTGTGGATCATGGCTAAGGCGATGGTAATTATTTATTCGCTTCGCAGAAAGGGAGTCTTCAGAAGGAACAGCGTGAAGAAGAGGGAAAAAATTATCTCTCTCGTCTGAGGATATTAAGATGGATTTTTATTTCTTAAAGGACCCTCCCCGCCGAGAGCACATAAGCGTAAACTTAATATATGCTCGGCAGCCCAACTCTAGAAATCGCAATAAAAGTTAAAACCTCCCCTACTGGTTTTTTTTAATTATGATATGGGAAAGGGGAGCAGGATTTATAGAGCTGAACTCTCGGCGTGTGTTTGAGACTTGCGGGAGCAGGAGGAAAAGGCAAGAGCTCGCCAAGGAGAGCCTTGGTCTCTGAGATGTCTCGCCGGCTGTGGGGGCTCAGGCTCAGCCCAGCTAATCCTCTATGGCCTCCCTGGGACCTCACCCCGGCAGTCAGTCGGCCTTGCCGCCGCGGCTCACACGCTGGGAGATGCAACCCTTCTTGGGAACAGGTGACGTGAAGGCGGCAAGCTGGGGACAAGGGGAGTATAAATGGGATGACTAGCTCACAGAGCTTTGTGTGTGTCCCTTGCTGGGGACGAGGTTTGCCCAAGTGTAGCCCAGCGGATGGCTGGATTCGATTCGGAGGGGTGTCCGGGCACCAGAGCAGGGACAAGGTGGACTGTGTGTGGATATCGGCCGCAGACTGAACAGAGCAGACTCCTGGGCTGTGGTCAGCGGCGAGCTGGGCAACCGGATGTTGAGTCTGTAGGAAGGACCTTGAGGTCTGTTGGGTGTTTGGGCTGCCGGGGGGCGGCAGCCCGGAGTGCGGAGGGAGCATGCAGTGCGCTGGGCGCGGCGGTCAGCGTGGGCGAGGCTGTAGGCCCTGCGCACCTCTGCGGTTGCTGGGCTGTGTCCCGGACAACTAAACTAAGATCGGACCCATGATCAGAACATGGAAATAAATGCAGTTAGGGGTCCTTTTTTTTTCCCCTCCCTATATAAGAGGTCCTTTCTTTTTTCTTTCGGAGATACCTGGATTTGGTCCAGAGCAGGTTGCCCGCGGGAGGGCCCGCGGGATTGGACCAAGCCTAAGATACCGAGTCTTGGGGGGGGCCTCTGCCTGAGGTCCTGGCGGGAGAGAAGGTAGGGAGATCCGCGCCAGCCAGGCCTGGCTAGGAGGCCTCGGAATGTTCAACCTGTGTATGATTTCAGCCTCACACTCATGTTGTGAGTCTGTCTGCCTTGGGATATGCTGCTTCCCTGTCTGTCTGAGACTTCTCAAACCCGGGCACTCCTTCCAAAGGCTGAGAAAAATTCGTCGTCGGAATGTGTACTTTCATTCATTGGATTCTCTGCAACTCGGCGGGGCCGGTACCCCCAAGTTGGAAGGGAGCTTTCTTCCTGTTTTCTGGACGTGGAGTTCTCTGGCTTCCTCGGCCACAGGCTGAGTTTTCCGGTTCTAGGTTCGCGAGTCGCCCTGATGTTTGAAGCTAGACAGCTCCCAGTCGGGCAGGGAGGGCGGGGGAGAGACCCGCGGCTCTGTCTCCTTAATTGTACTTCGAGCCTGTATTGTCTCTCATTTCGCCACCTACGCTTCCTCAGTCTGGGCTCCAAAGTCACTGCAAATTTCCTTGCGATACATACATCACACAAAAGATCAGGTAACAACGTGCTCAGAGCCATTAAGTCAGAGCACAGGGCAGCCCTGGCTCTGGGCCGGCTCCCCCTGCAGCCACTCCCCAGGCTGGAAAACCAGACTGTGTTGGGGGAGCCGGAAATAACCCCGTTTGCTGCGGAGCGGCAGGGCGGGGGCGCCGGCGCGAAGGCAGGCCGGGCAGGCCATGGCGTTGAGAGGGCCATGTTCACAGGCTCTGGGGGTTTCACGCTTGCTGAGCTTGGGGCCTAGCTCCTGGTGTGGTGTGCAGGGATCCCAGACACCCACCTTGGGTGGGGGTAGTACGCGGGTCTCCTCGCGGCAGGCAGGAGAGCTCAGTTTCTGCTTCCAGTGCAGGCCTTAGCTAGGAGGAGTTGTGTGTGGGTGTGTTTTTTCCCAAC